GAGAGAAAAAAACTGGTGAGTTTCAATGATCAACCTCTGGGTTAATATTAGGGTGCCCTGATGGCCTCATGGCAAGACGCTGTGCTGCAATCCCAAAGGCACACAGTTCAAGGCCACTAGCTGCTCTGTGGGAAAAGGACGGGCACTCCTCCCATGTGATTAACTACCTCTGAAAACCCATCTGAGTGTCAGCTATGGGTTGGTTCTGACTCTATGGTACACAACAACAATAACAACAACAACAAGGTTATTATTGGGTCACTTACACTATCCTTTAATTTTTATTATGTTCCTTTACAAGACAGGGAATTTTTGCTTTAACAAATGAAAATAATGAAGTTCAGAGACATTATCTCAAGTGTACACAGAGATGCTAGCGAAATTCAATCCCAGGGTTATGTGAGTATAAATCCTATGCTTAACCACTTGTCTAGCTAGGGCTATACAAAGATAAAGTAGGAATATATTTATAAACTGTTTGAATAGCTTCTTCATAAGAGATGTGAAAGAAGCTAGCATCCTCAAGTACAATATTGGTGACAAAGGAAATTTTTTACCTGCTGTTAGCACTAGAGCATCAGAAAAGGAGGATTAGAGATATAGTCAAATAAACTATTTATTCCCCTTACATAGTGATTGAGACACTGCAATCTTGTTTTGTACATTTGTTTCCTCATTATATTTTTTTCTATTTTAGTCATGATAAGATTAATAAACTGCATATTCATAAAGAATTTTTTTGCCATTTAAATTGCTCTAAACCTTGTACTTTTAAAATGTGTGTGTGTGCGTGTGCGTGTGCGTGTGTGTGTGTGTGTGTGTGTGTGGTGGTATGTGTCATCAAGCCCAGTATAATAATGCATAGCAACTCTATGAACAGTGACTGTAAAGCTTGCCCTATCCTGAGCCAATCTCACCATCCCTGACACGTTTGATCCCATTACCACTGTCACAATTGTCTCATCCAGGATTTTCTTCTCCTGTGCTGATCTTCTACCCTTCCAAGCAGGATCCTTCACCAAGGACTGGTCCCTCCTGGCAACATTTATAAAGTATGTGAGATAAAGTTTCAAAATCCTTGTCTCCAAAAAGCAATCGGTGTTAAGCTCTCCAGGACCTACCTGTTTGTTCCCTTAGCAGTCCGTGGTATGTTCAATACTCTTCTCCAGCACCATAACTCAAAGAAGCAGATTCTTCTGTCATCCTTAGTCATCGTCCAGCTCTCAGATACATATTGAGCAATTGAGAAAACCATGGCCTGAATCATATTTACCTTTTTCTCTAGACTGACGTTTCTCTTTAGCCCCCTGGAAAGGTCCCTAACAGCCGATTTCCCCAATGGAACCTGTCTTTGGTTTTCTGACTGTTGGTGGCAAGAGTGCTGATTGTGGGTCTAAGCAAGAAGAAATTGTTAACAACCTCAATTCCACCCCTACCCTACCTCATCTATCATAATACTTCCAACTGGTCCAATAGAAAAGATCTTTGTTTTCTTGATGTTGAGATACAATCCATATTGAAGGCCTTTTGATGCTTCAAATTCTAAGTCAGTGAATAACGTTTTGTCATTTTCATAGCACAAGTTATTAATAAATCTTCCTCCCATTCTTCTTCATAAAGCCCAGCTTCCTGAATAATCTCTTCTGCATATAGATTGAGAATGTATGGAAAACATATACATCTTTAATGCACTCCTTTCTTGAGTTTTTGAGCCCTTCAGATATATACGCACACACACCAGAAAAATAAAATTATATTAATGTTCTAGGAAAAGTGTAATCTAAAATCATAAGCAGGAAGAGTAACAGATCTTTTTTATTGATTATAAATTCATTTTATTGTTAAATTCTGCCAGTTCTAACTGATATGAACCCGTGTGACAGGGTAGTACTGTAACCGCCTTGTAATCCTTATGACACCAGATCACTAAGTCTTTCTTTCATGAAGACAATGCAGTAGGATGGGTTCAAAATTCTAGATAAAGTAATTTTCAATTAAAATAAGATTGTTTTAGTATAGCATTGTAACAAATGAAGTATGAAATACTTTAAATCCACTACAGCAAATGGATTTGTACTGTGCAGATACACAACTTTCTGCTGAGGAAATGCTCAGAAACAATGTGGATTCAGATTTAATATAAAATAACAAGATTTAAAGTCAATTCTCAGTGTTAACTATTGGTTGTTTTAGTGTTTTGTTGTTTTTTTCAGAAGCTTTGGAAAAAGTACAATGCATTAAAATATTAGTAAAATAATTTCAGAAAAATGTTTTTGATGACTAAATTTTAATTGAGATTAATAAAAAATGGAAAATGCATACCCGTGGAGTTGATTCAACTCATAATGACACTCGTTCAAGTCTCATAGGCTGCAAATCTTCCATCCATCAACAGGTAGATTTGAACTTGTAACTTTTTGGTCAGCAGCCCAATATGATACACACTGCCGCCAGAACGCAGCAGTAAAGAATTGATAACTTTGTATTGTGTTGTTAAAGAAGACTGTGGATTACACTGGGGCTGTCAAAAGAGCATACACATTTGTCTTGGAAAAAGTAAAGTTAGAATGGTCTTTGGAAGCAAAAATGCATTTCCACTGAGTGAGAATTAGCTCATAGCAGATCTTCCTGCAAGTTTCCAGAGGCAGTAAGTCCTGTGGGAGGATATTGCCTGTCTTTCTTCTGTGGGGTATTGGGTGGATGTAAACCACCTGGCTTTGTGTCAGCAGCAAAGCTATTCACTTAATAGGCCATCACAACAAGGACAGTGAAATGTAAGACTTTCCAGGAGCTGCCACAATAGGCATAAGCACAGGAGAGACTCAAGGATGGTTCAGGATCAGGCAGTTGCATTCCTTTGTGCGGAGATTCTCTGTAAGTCAGAACCCAATTGACTGCACTTATTGATGACAAACACATGAGAAATGGTTTTTGAGCATTTTAAGAAAATACTCACCAAAACAAAGATTACAAATACACATTTTAATAAGAACTTCATGATTTTGTTAAAAGGATGTTAAAGCATAAATACAGTAAGTGGTGGTGTGCTATTCGCTATTGCCAATGTCATGTGGATCTTGGCTAAAAGCAAAGAGTACCAGCAGAATGTCTATCTGCCTTTAATTGACTATGCAAAAGAATTTGACAGAGTGGATCACAATGAATTGTTTCTAACCTTGAGAAGAATGATTTATACTTGGACCAGAAAGCAGTTGTCAGAACAGAGCAAACTTCATGGTTCAAAATCAGGAAAGTAGAGTGTCCTGTCTTCATACGTTTTCAAACTGATCATTTGGGAGACTGAACAGATCATTTGGGAGGCTGGGCTGTACAAGGAGAAACATGGCATCAGGATTGGAGGAAGTCTCATCAACAACCTGCATTATGCAGATGACACAATCTTGCTTGCTGAAACTGAGGAGGACCTGAAGCTTTTACTGCAGAAGGTCAAAAGCTGCAGTCTTCAATGTTTATTTAAGTTAAACATCAAGAAAACAAAGATTTTCACCACTGGGCCAATTGGTAGCACCATGATTGAAAAGAAATTGAAGTTGTCAAAATTTCAGCTTCCTCAGCTCCACAATCAACACTGTTGGAACTAGTATTCAGGAAATCAAAAGAAAAATTCAATTGAGGAAGTCTGCTGTCAAGGATGTCTCCAAAGTGCTAAAGAGTAATGATGTCAGTCTAGGGACTAAGGGGCACCTAATCCAGGTCATGGTTTTTACAGTTACTTGCTATGCATGAGGGAACTGGACAATGACTAAGGATGTCAGAAGAAGAATTGATACTTTTGAGTTGTGGTGCTGGTGAAGAGATTGAATATATCATGGACCACCAAGAAAACAAATAGGTCTCTCTTGGAGAGGGTGAATCCAGGTTTCTCTTTAGAGACAAGGATTTTGAAGCCCTGTTTCACAACCTTTAGGCATGTGGTGAGGAAGGACCAATGCTTGGAGAAGGACATCATGATTGAAGGGCAGAGGGCAGAGCAGGAGAGGAAAACGCCAAATGAGATAGATTGACATAGTAACTGAGGACATTGGGGATAGGTGTGTTGGAGTCAGTGAGAATGGATCAAGATAGGGCAGGGTTCAGAGCTATCATATAGAGGGTTGCTATGAGCTGCAGGCATTGTGATGGCACGTAACAACAACAACAACCATATACATACACTTGTTTTTTTAGTTTGTAAATTTCCAGGTTTCATGAAAGTATTTTAATTCATTTTCTCTTTACAAACCTTGAGCATATTGCTTCTTCACCTTTCAACGTGTTAAACTTCAGAGTTTGAACATAAACAAATGACAATTCAATTCAATTTGCTTAGATACGAGTCTCTTATCATTAAAATAGTTTACTATTAGTGTGCAACTTAAAATAATTCTGACTTCTGGCTTTTTATATTATGCTTTTAAATACAAAATTTAAAAAAAATAAATATGTATTTATCTCCTTAATTTTGTTTTTAACTATTTCAAACAAAATTAACTTTCTAATCCTGACTTCTGACATGCACTGACATTACACCATTGATGTTAGTAACTGTACAAAGTGTATGCTTTGTGTGTTATTTTAATGAATACTCCCTTTACTAGTTTAATAGGCAGAGAGCTCCAAGGACAGCACATATTACTAGATGTTTATAGAATGGTTTTTTGCCATTAAAACATAAAGTCAGAAGTCAAGGCAAGATAATTTATTAGCTTTATTTGTATAGCTATTCCTTTTTAATTTGCGCTATTAATCTCAGTAGCTAAAAGTATGCACTGAAGCTTTTTCTGTCCTCTGACTGAGATAATTTTGTAAAGAATATAATTTTTGTTTTAGTGGTAGTTTTCTTTTCCATCCTTTCTCTCTGAATTATTTTATTATTTTCCATAAAAATTTTGAAATTTCCTGCCCTGTAAATCCAATAACCTAATACTGAACGCAATCCATTGTTATATGTTATGTAGGGCTTTTTTTTTAACTGTCTTGTTCACATCTCTTCTCCGCAGGCACTCCATCTGCACTGTGTACATTGAAGTGCTTCCTCCAAATAATCAAAGCCCTCCTCGCTTCCCACAGCTGATGTATAGCCTTGAAATAAGTGAAGCTATGAGGATTGGTGCTGTTTTATTAAATCTACAGGTATGCTTTTTGCTGTAAATGTATAGAAAATTCTATTGCAACATCCTTGAAGACTGCAGACTTATATTTGTTGAATTAAATGATTAATAACTTGCATGTCTGCTTACACTACAATAAATAAAAATTCCATCTAAAAAGGACAGCAAGGATAATATGAATGGGAGATTTTCCTAGTTTATCTATTGATTGCCTCAAATGTTTGACTGGCAGGGATTAACGGCAGTCATTACAGGAAAGCTTGAAAAGATTGGAAGCATGCTCTTGAATATTTTGTACTTTATATTTAGAGAGTCGGCAACTACTATATTTTTTTGTCTTGGGTTCCTTTGTCCCAGCAGGATTTCTTTTTGTGCCAGTGTTGTAAGGGATAATCTTAGACTGAAAGGCTCATTGTAGGCATTTGAATTCTGAAGCAGATTCTACTTCAATCTGTTTCCATGAGCAAATCTTGTAAGGCTGGGCCTCACTGTACATTTACAGATGATGAGTGTAAGTTTATCTGATATTGCCATTGTGTCTTGAGATTCACGAGTATATAAGTCACTTACAAAATGATAATTTGATTTTCATCACTGATATACTCCTAAAATGGAAAATCTCCATCCTTGCGATTTAAGCCTCTGACAGCCTAATGGAAGGATAGCTATGGGTCGGTCCTGACTCGATGGTACACAACAACAGAAGGAAGAATAATCTCCTGTGTGATTAACTGCCTCTAAAAACCTGTTGGGGGGGTCAGCTATAGGTCAGTTCTGACGCAATGATACACAATAATCAGCATATTTTGTCAGTGAAGATTGTCTCTTCAATTGAACACATCATATGAAGTTGTACTACATACAGTGTCAATAACTGTCACTTGCTAGAAAACCATTAAGAACCAAAAATTGAAAATTATTTTACCTGTGGACATTCACAGGACAGAAAAGTATTGCTAATGTTAGAATACGGAATAAGCATTTAAGATTAGTAGAATTCAACTGCAAAGTTCAGGGGTGCACAGTTCAAATCCACCAGATGCTCTGTTGGAGAAGGAGGAACAATCTCCTCCTGTACCAGTCAGATCTGATTTGACAGTACATACAAAAAATAATAAAAATGAAAAAAAAAAGATTAGTAGAATTCATATAAGGAGTATTTCAATATGCCTGAGTCAGATCCAGTATTGTTGTTATTGTTGTTGTTGTTATGTGCCATCGAGTCGCCTGCGACTCATAGCGAAACTCCGCTCTGTCCTGTGCCAATCGCACTGTCTCTGATACTCCCATCCCCATTATCCCAGTCACTGAATCAATCCACCTC